GAAAGTGCTCCAGAGTTTCACTGTCCTCTCCACATGCTCTACATTCGTCTGAATTCGCACGTCCAATTTTGTATAGATGTGCTCGTAATCCTGTGTGTCCACTGAGAATACGTACCATCATACTAACCTCAGACTTGCTCATTTTGAGAAGATTTCTCGTCTTGCTCTCATCAGGGTCACCCCATAGAATCTTTGTGGTTCTACCCACCGTTTCATTATTCCAAGAGGCCTTATGGGATTCTCTCATCCATATTTTTAATTCAGCTTTTGTTGCGTCGAATGGTTTTGCGTTTGTCAGGTTAACTACATCGAGCTCCCTTCCCTTTAAAGCTATTGCATTCGCCCTTTCGTTGCCGATTACTCCCGAGTGGCCTGGTACCCATATGATGTGAACCTTACCTCTGGGAGAGTATTCAGTTAAAGCTTTCTTACAATCCAATACGGTCTTAGATTTAATTCTATCACCTGATATCGCACAAATTGCCTTCTGGCTGTCGGTAAATATATTAAGCCTTGTGGGCGCCATATTTATTCTAATCCAATTTACACATTCCGTTATTGCTCGTACTTCTGCCTGGAAGCTTGTGTTATGATTAGGTAAACGGTGGTATATTTCTGTTTCTGGGTCTTCAATATAGAACCCCATACCCACTTTGTCCCCTAATTTAGAGCCATCCGTGTAGCAACGGATTCCTACTGGTATTTGCTCTAATGTTCCGCTTGACCAAGACATTCTATCTGGGATTAGCGTTTCAAAGTTTCCGACATATTCAGTGTCTGGTATGCGATCAGGCACGTCCGATGAATGTGTATAACCTTCCAATGTGTCCAGTATACATTGATGACGTGTCCTATAACCGTTTTTGGCCAGTTCGCCTAAAGTAAAGAGCCGTTCGGCTGTAAGCGCCGCCTCATATCTTATATATGTTTCAATGGGTGGAATATCTAGCAACGTTTCCAGAGCCTTGGTTGAAGTAGTACACATGGCACCACTTATACCCAAGCAGCATGTACGCTGAACTCCCTGTAGTAATTTGATATTACACTTTTTGTCCAAAGCAGTCCACCAGATTATTGAAGCATAAGCTAGAATTGGTCTAATTACACTTTTATAAAGCCAATTTGTCATAGTAGGACTAATGAATGTTACATTAGCGTGTTATTGGAGGGATGTTGTTCATTTTTGACAACTTTGAACTACATCTAATCTTATTATTAGAAGCAGTAAAAATCCTATATTTGGATGTCAAAAATAAACCAGATTCTTTCAATGACATTAGTCTTTCACCAAAATTTGATGTACTTCGAATATGTTATTTGTAGTGACTTTTCTACATATCTTTCCTCACTTTTAACTGGGGTTTCATTTGTAAGGAAATATTTGGTTTATAAAAGCGAAAAATATGTAATCGCATTTTTGGATGTGATTAAGATGTCGTTTGTAAAGGATGACATCAATTATTTTTTGCCGGGTTATTGCAATAATAATGGTTTTATATTCAAAACAGATCAGTACAAAATTTCAGTTAGTTTTTCCAACTCTATTCTTTGCAGGAGACATTTTAAGTGGAGAGAAACTTTGAACATGATGGTGGCTCTATTTCATTGAACATCACTGTATATACTTCCCAGCAAAAAAGTGGGGAAAAAGAAGTAGAATTTTCAATACAAATAACATACTTGAAATACTTCCAATTTTTACATTAGCGTGTAATTGGAGGGATGTTGTTCAATTTTGACAGCTTTGAACTTCATCTAATCTTATTTTTAGAAGCATCAAAAATTCGGTAATTGGATGTCAATAATAAACCACAATCTTTCAATGACATGTTTATGTAAATTTCATTGGTTCTTTACCAAAGTTTGAGGGACTTCGAATATGTTATTTGTAGTAACTTTTCTACATATCTTTTCTCACTTTTAACTGGGTTTTGATTTGTAAGGAAATGTTTGGTTTATAAATGCGAATATCCCAGCAAAAAATCTGAAATTTTTGGTAATAGCCAGTAGTTATTTCATACATTACTTGGTAATGAGTGTTCATTATCATCCACATTAATTTATTTAGCTGAATAGGTTATTACTGGTAAAGAACAAAACAATTTGGATTTGTTATGACTCAATTGTCTAGGTCGTTTATTTAACAAACAGGGGGTTCGTGGTTCGAGCCCTGCTGGATACTGTTTATTTTTTTTCAAAATGACATTCATTTATATATTTTTGTAAAATGCCGTTCTCAAAATTACAAAAAGCAACATGTTAATGGAGCATCGAGTAAGCGGCTGGAGTGAGAAACACAGAAAACAACTGAATGCCTGGGTTCAAATCCCGGCCGAGAATTTTTTTATTTTTTGTTTTCTACATACAAAGTCGGCCCAAAATAACTAGCTATCACATAACATATTTGTAGGTTTATTTGTAACTAGTTTTTGTAATCAAATTAGTAACCATTTATTAATTTGTTTAAGGTAGGTACATATTCCCAATAAACCAAAGAACGATATGATAGCGAAAACGGTATTGCTTTTAAAGGGCGATTATGATATCATATTTCATTATTTAAAACGATATTATTATAATATCGTTTTATATTTTGTTTCCAATAAAAAAATTAAGAAAATACAAACATTTGAAAAAAACTTCAAACATAAAAATAATTTCAATAAAAATTTTCGAACATAAGAAAACTAAAAAGGATATTAAAATAAAATCAACTAAATTATTGATAAATAATCCAAATAAATACGCGAATTTCGTTCGATACTTCAGTTTTGTGGTAAGTTGACATGTATGCAATTTTGAAAAGTTTCAGGTATTTGCAAGACAATGCATAATGTGATGAAAAATATGATTACTTTAAAATATGTATTAATGTATGTATGTAAATATGTACAAATGAATGCAATCCTTCCCTTTTCAGGCTTTTTTATATGTATAATAGCGAAATATTAAGTTAAATAGCGTTTTAAATGAAATTTTAAGAATAAAAGAGCATACAGAAAAAAAACTGAAAAAGGCGATTTAACTATCATTATTTTTGGAAATTATGATAGCGAAAACGATATCATAATTTTATGGAAAAACGATATCATAAGGAAAGGTACCATTTAGTACGTAAATACTATCGTTCTCGATACGAGAACGACTATCACTTATGATATTTTTTATCACCTAAGTGATATCGTTTCGATATCGTTATAATATCGTTTGGTTTATTGGGTTATTTGAACCTCGTCGAACAAAAATAATTAGTTATTCACCCCAAAAGTAATTAGTTTCCACGAGATTCCAATATTACTTTCTAGATTACTAGGTAATGAAAATTTTTGCTGGGATGTAATCGCATTTTTGCATGTGATTAAGATGTCGTTTATAAAGTATGACATCAATTATTTTTGCTGGGATATATCGCGGACTAGGTTATTTTAAGGATATCGAAGCACACTGTGTTTAGCTAGTTTTTAAATAAACTTATTTTTTAACTTAATTTTCTTTTTTAAAAGAGAAAAACTAAAACTTTTTCGGAATGAAACCACTTCATATTTTCAACGTGGAATTGACAATAATGTTATTATATTTTATCTATTAAGTAATAATTCGATCGGAATGGAATTCTATGACAGGCCTGTAAATTTCATATTATGTACTTACAAAACTATTTGAGGCTATTTTTTTATAGAATTGGTGTCACTGATGATTGAAGTAATTTTTTATCTAATCTAAATAAAACAAAAAGATGCCAAAAGATTTACGGTTGTATTCATAAAAAGTGATTTTAGGTTTATTAAACATTATTAAGCAAAATCCACGAAAATGGTATTCATAAACGTCAAATAGCTTAAAATACCTTCAATAAACCAATGACAAATAGAAAAAATTTGTTGTACGCTCGACCCTACTTTAAGCCAACAATAAGTTGAATTCTTACAAATTTTGTCTCTGATTAAGCTTTTTTCATTAATTTTAAGTTGAAGACGAAAACTAATCATGTTTTATTCTGAAATGAAATCTAAAAATTGTAATTTTAACGTTTACAAATTTGTAAATAAAATTCCAGATAAATTTTAAAAGTTTCTATTTTGGTGAAAAAACTAAAATCTAGGCATTATTGGATTAATAGATGAATATTTGACAGTATTCCAGTTGGTTAATACTATTTTTGGCAATTTGGAAATGCCCGCCTGTCAATCAAATCATGGCCACAATCATTTTATTTGTCTTTTTCATAGTTTATTCGCTAAATATAAAGCCATGAAGTAATTAAGAGTGTAAATTATATTGATTAGTGTTCTATCAATGCAAAATATCTTCTCCGGCAATAAAATGTAGTCTTTTATCAAAGAAATTTATCAGTATTTGCAAAAATTTATTAAAAATTGCTATAAAAATAAGTAAAAATAACAAAATGTGCATAGTGATGCTTATTTTGTCACAAAATATTCGTTATTCGAATACTTTTAATTATAATTAAAAATATATATGTTATATTCATTCATCTGAACTAAATATATATTTATTGTAGCCATGTATACATTTATTTTTCTTAAAAGTTCGTTCTTATTTTCAAAAATGTGTTATAACCAAAAATATAAAATTAAGAAAACCGACTCAACGAATATTTTATCCTAATTGTTCGCAACACTAACACAGAAAATGACAGCCAAATTGTACAGTGCTGCCAAGTTAAACAATAAACAGCACAATAGTTAATGTAGGTTTATTATTTGTTTATGAATACCACAATTTTATTAATGGCCTTTAAGTCTAAAGTGTACTTTAACTATTGTGTGATTTAAATCTAAAATAAGCATTTTTTATGAATACAACTGTTATTGATTAATATGAAAATTGTATCAGAAACTGTAAGATGTTAAAAAAAAACTTACAAATGTGGTTAATAATATTTGGAAGTAGTATCTTGAAAGTTAAAAAGACACGAGAATATATGTATGTGTGTATAGGTACGTTGAATACATCTCTATATTCAATGTATATTTGTATTTTTATCAGAAATTGTAATGATTCAATTTTGTGTTGTATGTTATTGCATTGATTCTCGAAACTAAAATAGAACTGAAAGAATAAGGTATTCAATTGTGAAAAAAATTACTTCATCAGTATTGCATTGAACCTAAAAGAAGCGACATTATTTTAGAAATGTACTTTTTCTGCGACTTTTTAAGTAAGATTTAAAAAATTTGAACATTCAAATTTAAACAATTCGCTATACATCGTTCATTTCCTTTAATAAAATCAATTCAAAAATATGTTGAACATAGCCATATGTACATATTTTTCACACTTCATACAAATCATGGATTTGGAAAAAACGTTTTCACACTAAAAAAAAAGAAAATGATCCTATTGAATTAAATGAACGACATAAACTTTTGACCATCTTAAGGAGGTGGTAAAACATTTTTTTGTTACCGAAGAACACTTTTTTCTGATCATTTTTCGAATTGTGTTCAGAATTAAAATTACAGATCAAACTCAAAATTTTGTGTTTAGTTTTTAGCTGTTTATTTGTCAGTGGTTTCCATTTTGGATACTATTGCAAATACACTTATATTTATCGCAGTTTATGGCTGAATTGGTTTGTACTATTCGGAGTTTTGTTGTGCCTACTTTTAGCGGTGGGATGGACGCTGCGAAAACATAAAAAGAGGAAATATTTATTTGAGAATTTCTATATCGTGTTTTATGGTCTAATATGTAGTGTTATAAGTGCAGTTTTCTTAATAACTGAGAATACAGGTGAGTGGAACGTTTGATCACGATTTAATCAATGTATTTATTTCACTTTGAGTTCTTGTATATTTAGATATTTCATTCTACTTCATATTCATGTCGATGGTTGTAATCTACTTACCCTGCTATAATTACATTTCGTTGCGGTGTGATTCACATGGTTCAAGGCCAGCACGTATTGCACTTGGCAATACTATATACTTTGCAGGTCTTACTGCAGGGTTTTCAATCTTTAATGATATGGAACCGAAACGATGTGCTTGGGTACTATTTGGAATTTCCTTGTTTGCTATAGTCTGCGTCATTATCAATGAAGTCTTACAACAATATCGTATTCAGGATTATAAAAGCTCTTGTGATCTTGTCTTTAATTTAATGAATGAGGAGAAATTGATTTATGCTCCAAGAAAATCAGTACTGACGCTTTTTGTAGGACGAGACGAATACTATTTTAAGCGCAACATTCAGTGGATGGTAGTGGGTATGTCAGTAGTTGTTACAGTAGAGAGGTGCTGTTTATATTCAATGACTTACCTCACTCTCATGTACCGATCCACCATTGGTTACACTCAGAGCAACTATTTGTACTTGCCTTATCTATTATACGTGAGTGGATGTGCACTGGGCTCGCTCTTGATGTTGCGTTACAAACCCAAACTGATTTATCTGATGTTCGGCTTAATTAAAATAACAATCGCAACAGCTATATTGGGTGTATATGATGATAATTTTCCAGAACATTGCTTCATACTATTATGCTTCTATTACATCTGTATGGGTGTTTATTCCAGCATTGGTATACAAATGTTGCTAGAATGTTCGCCGTTTCTTTATACGGAACTAACTTTGGCCGGATCATATACCCTGGAGCTAACATTAATGGAAATTTCCAAGCTTGAGATCGTGAATGAGGATGAAAATGAGTGGACGATGCTCTTAGTTTTAAGTGTAACAACTATTTTCCTAACGATCTGCAGTATTTGCTTGATACAACTTTTTTTAATCGATTCGGTGGGTCTAGTCGAAATTCGTAATCGTCTGTTAGGCATACACAGGTTACCAGTGAAATCATACGATAATAAGTTATATAAAAATAATTTTTTCCTACAAATGGAAATTCCATCGAATGTTTCAAGTGTTGTTTTAGAGAACAATCGTGTATTTCAACAGTATCCGGCAGAAAATGACAAAAATACAAAATTATAATAAAAATAAATTTTTCAACGATAAATATATGTACGTATGTACATTAGACCGACTCTTGCTTTGTTTTATGAAGATTCCCAAAATATTTTAAGTCTAGCGATGACCGTTCGTGAGCTGGACCAAATTAAAAAAGGTATTTTAGACTTATTTTTTATTCAAATTTTAGTTTTGGGGTATCGTTTGAAAGTGGGTTTAAAGCCGCGTCCAATGATGTATTAATCATAAATAACCGTCTGCTGTCATATACCAAAATATTTAAAATTGTTAAGTTTTTCATTAATAAAAATAAAATATGTGCACAATGTATGCAAATTTTGCAAACCACTAGACCTGGCTTTAAAACCCTTTCGAATGATACCACATGTTTTAAGAAATGACTGTAAATTTAAAAAAAATAACTAAAAAGGGACTTTTTTGTAATTGGTGCTGCTCACGAACGGTCATAGATAGACTAGAAATATTTTGGGAACCATCATAAAACAAAACAAAGATTTTTTTGAAGCTAGGTAAAATACTGAATTGAGCATGAAAAATTGTGTCCCCCATACGATTTTTTCTTGAAAACTGTCGGACAACACTAAACCCAAAATATTTTGGGTAACATCATATTACATAATAGCGAATATTTTAAGGGGTAACTCAAGCATCATTTTTTGTGAGTCGGTCTAATGTACATATATTTATTTTTGTAACCAATTGTACTCAGTAAAGGTAATTCTAATTAAAACAAAAGTGTAAATCGAGAAGGTCTTAATCTGAAACTACACCTTTAGCTCCAATATTGACTGTATGGGTTGGAATGGTGATGTTTTTAATAACACTGTACGTAAAATTACAACTTTCAATAAGACACAGAAAAACGTCAAAACTTTATTTTCGGTCGTAGAATCTAGTGGCATACTCCGTTTTGAAAAGATGGGTCAAAATCGGGAAATATTGCATTTTAAAGTTTAAACTGTTTCTGAGGTGATTTTTAATTATTTAAATTTAAAAAACAAAACTCTCACGCATAGAAAAGTAAATAAATACACAAAACTAGAGTCCATTTGAATTATTATGCGTATATGTATGTATACTTAGTTTTTTATAATTAATTCGTATGTCTATGCGTGAAAACTTTTTTCAAAATTTAAAAAAATAGAAAAAATTACCTCATAAAAGTTCATACTTTAAAACGCAGTATCTCCCGATTTTGAACCAAGAACTGAATTATTTGAAAAAATCGGGCGATTTTTTCAATTAATTTTTCACTCGTTTAATTTTTACTTTATCCCACAGAGAAAAATTCCTAACAAAAAGGCAATTATGTATTTAAAAATTATATTTTAATAATAAATATGTATATCGAATGAAAATGTATGATTTTGTTAAAAATTGATTTAAGCAAATCATATCTTTTAATTTAAATATGAATATAATAAATAACGTCCGAAATAAATGAATTATTTTAAAAAAATATTGAAACTAAGTTTTTTATTTAATAATTCTAAGGGCTAGGAATTTACAATGTACATCCTAAATAAAATCAAATTTTTTCGAGATGGCGCTCAATGTCAAAACGAATTAAGAATGTGTCGTATTAACGGGTTAATTGTCTATCGTCATTCAGAGCTGAAATAAGCAATTCAACAGCTCGTGTGAACTTGGTATAACAAATACATATATAATTATCTTTATAGAAATGTGACCAAACCACTACCTAGAAAATTGTTAAAAATTAAGTTATCTATGATAAAATCGAGATTTAATGATTTTATTTTATGGGATGTTTGTATTCTCAATTGATTAGTAAAAATGTCCATATAATTGATAAAATAGATGCTTATTTAAGACAAATAGTTTGTGCTATTGTTGAGTATTTCGCATAAATTCATATAAAAATTATTTATTAATTTTAAATAAACTCTGCAGGAAATGGAACTAGTACCAAACTAGTATTTTACTAGTACCAAAATCACCAGTACTAGTTCCCAACTGTAAACTTTCCAATACTATCATAATGCTCAAATTAACATTGAGTGTGTTTGAAAAATTACTAGTACCATTAGTTCTAGACTTATACTAGTACACTTGGACCCAATTGGGTTCTTTCGCACCAGTTTGATACTAGTTCTAATATTCATAAATAGTCGCCATAATTGGTGGTTTTGCTCTTTTACAATCCTACATTTACCTAACAATAATTCAATATGAAAGTTTGAAGAAATTCTGGTTCTATCCGCATCTCCATTGATTTCGTTATAAAAACATTTGCCGTACGATAAAACAAATATTAAACTTATTGCAGTTTTTAAATATAATAGAAGTACTTACATAGAGATTTGCTTGCAACCGGACCTAAATTTGCATGCACTATTTATTCTATCATTTGAAGGGATATGTATGTTTGAAAATATCTTTTTTTATGCAAATTTATATTTCAATAATTTAACAAATTTATTTTTTTCAACACATGTCAAACAAAAATCAGTCTACAAGTGGTACCATTCAACTACTTCTAGTACTAGTATTTTTCCATATAAACTCTAATCTAATTTGTACTAGTGTCTGGCATTAAGACAATTATCGCTTCATTTCCTGCAGGGAATATAGTGTCCTAAAAATATAATAAATCCCTGGATGGATGAACATATTTTTTAGGATTGTGGCAACTTTGACAGTTCTATCTACCTCAAATATAAAAATTAAGTCATCAGCTCTTGAATTGATTTCACCTTATGAGTGCACCCTGGTCAGTCTGTAAAAATTAACTAGAAGTGAATTTTTCTCGTAGTCGACTACAAAATTGCTGGCAGGGTATCTATGAACTCAATATGACAGAATTTGGATGCACAGAGAGCAAGATAAAATACAAATGGTCCCTACATAAAAACATAACTTGTAAAATGTCAATTTTGGGACTCGTTTTGTAATGTAAATTAAAATTTAAATTATAATTTTTGTATTATTTTTCTCCGAATAAAGCCTACACAGAAAAAAAATAATACATAACTGGAATGAATTTATTGTATGAATCGAACATGACTATTTTTTCCCAAACCATATGCTGAAACTTTTTTCTGTGTACATACTTTAATGAAAAGAAAAAATATTTTTGATTCGCACCTCTTGTTCTATTTAATAAATATGTACTTGATAAAAATAATGGAGTGTACTAATTTAGTTTTTTATCCCCTCGTACATCACCATGTTTGTTTTGCTTTTTGTAATTTTGTTTATATACATATGTATATTATCAATTTATTTACATACAAGTATGAATTGTAGTTGATGCGTATATATATACACAGAAAAAAATAATTCATATTTGGAATGAATTTTGAAATAAATTGAATGAATCGAACATGACTTTTTTTTCCCAAACCATTTTCATTCGGAATATTAAAAGTTCATAAAATGTATGAATTTGTACATGAAAGATTTTTTTGTTTTTTTGTTAATTTTCTTTGATTTTCATCAAAAATGCAATAAATAAATAAATAACCGTTACCTATTAATATCTTCCATTTTTTAGAAAATAATCACATATTAGCGAATTTTTATGATAAATAAATAAAAATGCTGGAAAACAAAATATGAAATAAATAAACCAGCATATAGATAAACATCCATTCTTCAGAAAATGTTGCATGTTACGCGCATATTTCATTGTTTTCAATCTAAAAATCATAAAGAAATAAAAAATTTTCTAAAGAAAATTTCAAACATTTTTTAACAAACAGAAAAATATAAAGAAAATTTTTAATATTTTAAGTCAAGGCTTCTAGCAAAGAATAAACAAGAAGTGAAACGCTGTCATTTTTTTACAACAATAAGAGCGTAACTCTTCTCACAGACGAGTGCTGTGTAAATTCAACACATATGTAAAAATTTTATTCTCTCTCCAAACTTCAAAACTTTTTCGCGAAAATTTGAGGATAATAGCACTTTGAAATATTTTTTATCACTTAACATTATATTTTATAATTTTTTTGCACAATTTAAACACATTTAATAGCCCGAAAATAATATATTTTTTACAAACGAAAATAAAATATTTTTTATTTTTTGACATTGAATTTTTGTTGGTTGAAATTAAAACTAAAAAAACAATGTTGTAAATTTTCGTATGGTAAACGAAAAAGATATTTCAAATAAATAATTTATTTTTGCAATATTATAGATTAAAAAACAAATAGACGTGTTTATAAAATGTTTGTAGATAAAATATGTGGAAAATATCTTAAGAAACCTTTCAAAGTATAAATTGAAATGTAATATTTTTTTTTTTCAATATTTTTCAATACGATTTTTTGCAACTATGTTGACTTGAGAATTCTACTAATACATTCTTAGAGTTAGGTACCGGATGACAGTACACTTAGGTACTTTTGACAGCAGTTTCATTTCTTATTTATTCTTTGGCTTCTAGATTATGTTTAAAAATAGAAAAATGAAAAAATTCATACAATTTAGGAATTTATTCTTAAATATTATTAACTTTAGTCAATGAAAGCAGTTCATAATATTTATGCTGAAACTTTTTTCTGTGTACATAATACATACAGTGAGATTTTTTGCGGAAACAGACAACTAACGGTATTTGTTGCTACTTCCCATTTTTATCAGCTGGTTTCTCACTCAGTTGTAAGTGTGAGCACCGTCCATATAAAACAAAGAGTTGAGTTTTGTTTTCATGGCCTTTGTTTTTGTTTCAATTTATATCAGGAAAAAGGAGTGTAAAAGGACGAATGTAGTAATTTTATTTGATTTAAGTCGATGAAAAGTAAAAGGCAACTCTCACGTAAAATGAAGTTAGCAAAATGAAATAAAAGATACATAAGTGAAAGAAGAACGATTGTTAATGTAATACTTTATTTAATATAATTTCAAGTCAATCGAATTAAAAAATGAAGAAAATTTTAGTTAATTGGTTTAACAACTTGAGTAATCGAAGCCTTGTGATTACCATATTGATTTGCATATCCTTAATATACGTATCGTACACATTTAACTCATGCCTAATTACGAGTCTCGGACGCACCTTAAAGAATGTAAAAAAATATTAATTTAATTTAAATTAAACATATGTATGTACATATATATATATACATATGTATCTACTTATGTATGCATGTGATAATTAAAAAATGTTATGTATAGTTATAAGTTATAAATATGTACATATGTATGTATGTGTATGCATTCTTTTCTTAATGTATTTTTGTATTTAGAATCCTTTTAGAAACCTTTTTAAATCATCAATGTTGCATGTCCAAATTGCAAATGTAGCAAATATGACTGTAAAGGATGACATAAATGTAACAAGGACAAAGACTTCGTTATATGGAATGCCATTAGATTCATTGTCGAACAAATCAGCGACTCGTATTTTGGATGGTTCACCAAAGTATCGACTCTTACGACAGCAAGGATCTAGACCATTGCGCCATTTACCAGACACTTTAATCATAGGTGTTAAAAAATCCGGAACTCGAGCGCTACTGGAATTTATACGACTGCATCCTGATGTTCGTGCTGCTGGCTGCGAAGTGCATTTCTTTGATCGCCATTATCAGAAAGGTTTGCACTGGTATCGGCATCACATGCCATATACAATCGAAGGCCAAATAACAATGGAGAAAACACCGAGTTACTTTGTTACCAAAGAAGTGCCCTTAAGAGTCCATCATATGAATTCAAACACCAAGTGAGTATAAATACATATGTGTGTATACCAGTGATGCCAAGTGTAGGGATTTTTCCCTTTTTGTAGGGATTTTTTTCAAAAATTTCACGTGTAGGGAAAAAGGGAAAGATTTCTTACTATTGTCAAATTGTAAGGATTTTTCAATTTCATAGTTTTTAATAACTAAAAATATACTCTTTCATGTATTAAACTTTTAAATTAAAAATGAAATCAGTTTTAAGTGTATCGTTAGTAAAAATTCCGCTTGTAATTTCTACAATATATGTACCTACATATCGCTACAAGACTGGCATAATCCAAAATTCGGCTTTCTTGAACTAAGGTCTTCAAAACATGCGACATACTAAAATCTTTCATATAGATTTATGAAATTTCAAATATGTCTATTATTTTCGATGTGAAATCGATTTTTTGTAAACGTAAAAACTAAAACCCACGTTTTTGTGAATATTAGACAACTAAAAATTTAATTTCAATTTAGATGAGAAACATATTAACCTCAACTATCTGAATCTGGATTTTTAAAACCCCTTGATTTGTTTAAAAGTTATTAAAAAAATAGTTAAATGTCATTAAATATTCATATCCATTTTTCTTGAAACGAATTTTTGGATTATGCCAATCCTGTAGGGCGATATATTCTGACTCCTTATAGATAGAGTAGTCGGGGGCTTAATGCAGTAACTCAGGATTGAAAAAATGAATTTAATGTTCTGAAAATTTATAAAAGTAAACCGCAAAAAGTAAACGCAAAAGTAAACCTTATTTAAAATAATTATTTTATGAAAATTTTTTTGTTGGAGGCACATAAAATAAATTTTTATCACGATTCGATATACTGCCATAAATCTTTCAATTGTTTTTTTTTAATCTTAACTGAAGAGTCAGGGTTGGAAGATTTGTATGATGTAAAATTGAAAGAAAAAAAATTTAAAATTTAAATTCTAGAAATTTCATTCCTAAAAATTAAAAAAAATACATACATATATGTATATTATAAAACGGAGCTAATATTTTAGTTTTTGATGTTATTTTCGTATTTTTTTAAGATAAACTTTGAAAAAAATGGAAAAAAGTAGTGTAGGGAAAAATGTAGGGAAAATAAAAAGTGGGTGTAGGGAAAAAAGGGATTTTTTCTCATAAGCGTAGGGATTTCTGAAAAAAATCTCCTGGCATCACTGGTGTATACGTACATTAGGGTGGCCCCGTTTTTTTTGGAGAAACAATAAGATACTGATGTTACCAACAAAATTGAAAGCTTGGTTCAATCTAAGATACCATTTCTTAAATGGTCCTTTTTTAAAGTTTTTCCATGTTTTAAGCAAACCCAGCAAAAAATATTTGATGTTATACTTTACAAACGACATCTTAATCACATCTAAAAATGCGATTACATACTTTTTGCTTTTATAAACCAAATATTTCCTTACAAATGAAACCAACTCCCAGTTAAATGTGAGGGAAGAGATGTATTTTGGTGAAAACCCAATGAATTTTACATAAGCGTGTCATTGAAAGAATGCGATTTGTTTTTGACATCGGATTTTTATTGCTTCTAAAAATAAAATTAGGTGTAGTTCAAAGTTGTCAAAAATGAACAACATCCCTCCAATGTAAAATTCATAGGATGTTCACCGGAATTTGAAGCACTTCGGGTTACTAGTTGTGATGAAAATACTACATATTTTTTTGCTGGGAAGGAATGACAAATGTCAATATCATGTGAAAGGTCTTTGACAGACGCTTTCAAAAACATGTACAATACCAAATCAGCAGAGAAGCAATATATGGATTTATATCCTTTATGTTAAACAATACGTACATTGAATTTAAAATTTATTTTATCTAATCCATACCCACAATGAATTGTTGTACAATTAAATACATGATAGAAAAATATTAGAATGATTAAATATACATACCCAGCAAAATATGTGTGGAAAAAGATGTAATATTTTTATCACAACTAGTTACCCGATGTGCTTCAAATTCGGGTGAAATCTAAAAATCATAAAGAAATATAAAATTTTCCTAAGAAAATCTCAAAAATTTTTTTAACAAATAGAAAATATATTTGAAATATTTTAAGTCAAGGCATCTAGATTATGTTTAAAAAAATAAAAATTCATACAATTTAGAAACTTATTCTTAAATATTATTGACTTGTATCAATGGAAGCAGTTCATAACATTTATGCTGTTACTGTTTTCTGTGATCGTTCCTTTTGTATAGCTCATTATCATTAATTTTAGAACGCTTTTATACACATGTATATTTATTATATTGTGTCTAATTTATAGACTTCTAGTCGTTGTTCGTGATCCCGTTACTAGAGCTATATCCGACTATACACAAGCAGCAAGTAAAAAAACAGATATGAAACGTTTTGAAGAGCTGGCCTTCGTCAACGGAAGTTATGCAGTGGTCGATACTAACTGGGGACCTGTGAAAATTGGAGTTTACGCCCGATATTTAGAAAAATGGTTACAGTTCTTTCAACTCTCACAATTACTCTTCATCAGCGGTGAACGTTTGATTATGGATCCTGCTTATGAAATAGGAAGGGTCCAAGATTTCTTGGGATTGAAAAGAGTAGTGACCGAAAAGCATTTTTATTTTAATGCAACTAAAGGATTTCCGTGTCTATTCAAATCAGAAGCACGTTCAACACCACATTGTTTAGGCAAAACTAAAGGACGCAATCATCCTCACATTGAAACAGCGGCGATTGAAAGACTGAGAGATTTTTATAGACCATTTAATAACAAATTTTATGAAATGACAGGTATAAATTTTGCTTGGCCCTAGATATAAAACGACTAGGGCTCGTTAAAAATATATAAAAAGACTTACGGTTGTAACACCTCCTCCGTTCATAATGAAAAACAGGTGTGTTGAGAATAAAACAACGCACAAACTTGTATTGAAATTTATAAAATTTTCAAATTAATTTTTTTGTTCTTATATACATAATTCGATACCAACATAAAAAGCATTTATGAAACCACTTACTCCGATATTTAAAGGAGACAAAAACTTTAAAATAAAATAAATATTTTATAACCATAATATACTACTTATTACACACAATAGTTAAAAATGCATACTTACATATGAAAATTTGTAGACTTTCTTAGAATTTTTTATTACTTGTTAAACTATTTACTATGTATAAAAGTAGCTTTATCATAATAATTAGGAAATAAAAAACATAGTTCCTTCGGTAACAATGGAAAGATTTTAATATAATACTGAAACAGTAATCCCCTATTTCAACTAAAATATAAGATTGTAGTCTTATGACCATATTCAAAATAAAATGTTAACTACTACGAACTGCTATCATTCCCTTATGGAGATTTACACACAAATAAGTTATACATACACACATACATATGTATGTATGGATGTATGTATGTATTTATGTATGTATGTATGTATGTATGTATGTATGTATGTATGTATGTATGTATGTATGTATGTATGTATGTATGTATGTATGTATGTATGTATGTATGTATGTATGTACATATGTATGTATATATGTATGTATATTCTTGCAAATATCCCATCAGTTTAAAATCAAATCATATTTTAATGAAATAGTTTTTCTTCGTTTTATACAATACATAATTAGATAATTTGAAAATAAATTGGTAAATTGTTGTTTTCAGTCTCAACTAGTAATTTATCTTAGCCCTATCAGGAACAGAAGTGACACAAAACTAGTCCCTTCTTCTTCAGGTGTAAGATCCAGTTTAAGCTCTAACTACGTTCGTACTTTCAAATATTGCTAGGTCTAAACATTAATAAACGTTATAAGCCCTGCATAATTATCCACGTTAAGAATCTATTTATTAATAAAACATAAGGTTTTTTAGAAAGCGTAATCACAATGTAGTAGTCAAAACTATTTCATATATATTTAGCAGATTTTTTTAAATGTTTGACGAAACAAAGGAAGCTGCAACGGTTGGCATTTTTGAAAAAATATTTTTCGATTATCGGTTATATGATTTCACCAAGTTTTGTCTAGAATAGAAAAAAAGAAAGCAATATATTATACCATTTATTATATGATTAATTGAGCATTAAATACCCTTTTGCATATTGCAAAAATATTAATACAATAATTAACTTATACATATTTATAAACATTTAAATAAAAATCTTATTAAATTTTGTACAATAGAAATAGTTGTGTTTCATTTACATAACGTCGCCTTAAACACAAAGGGCCGATTGTACCCAAAAAATTCAAAATAAATTTTTTAAATTAATTCTGATATATAGCATCAAAACAAATATTTACATATTTAGAATAAAAACCTACAAAACTGGTCATATCTACTGCTCTAAAAGTTTATATTTATATAGTTTTAGCGCTAATTTTAATGAAATTCAAAATCAGTTATTAATGTTTTATTTTGTTATCAAACAGAATTTTTATCAATACATTTTAAAATAAATATAGTGCACCAATGAAAATTCGCATGAAAATCATCGAATGTTCATTGGTTATAAGCACTCATTTTAATGAATTACTATTTTTCCAAATACGAATCCATGCTCGCCAATGACACGCCAATGTTAAAATCATGCATGTTTCAACTAAATATGAACCAGTTCATTATCAGTTAAACCCGTGCATTTACTACATTTTTTGCACTTTTTTTGCTGGGAAAATTTAAATACGCTTAGAGTACATTACGTATTGGCATTGAAATGTAAATATTGAAATCCGATAGCCAAAAATGTACACTTTTATGTATGTATGTATGTATTATGTATGTATGTATGTATGTATGTATGTATGTATGTATGTATGTATGTATGTATGTATGTATGTATGTATGTATGTATGTATGTATGTATGTATGTATGTATGTATGTATGTATGTATGTATGTATGTATTTATGTATGTATTTATGTATGTATGTATGTATGTATGTATGTATTTATGTATGTAAGTGGCGAGCATATCTGGATACATATTAATCAAGTTAATATTAAAAACCCAATAAAATTTGAAGTATTTAGTGAATGGATGTTTCATTAAAATATTCATTTTTGAACATCATCCTTTTTTTTTGTCGTATGGGAGCAACCACTGTGCCATTTTATTTACTGCATCTACCAGTTATATTTTTTTAATTTGTTGGCGCATTTTGTATTTCCGAACACTTTATCGAAGACTTTCTTCAACATTTTATATTCGACCATATTGGATAAATAAATACTTTTATTGAAACAACTTTATATAATATTAATAATAATTTTATGTAAGTTTATTTCGCATTTAATATTTCGTTTTTGTATAATAAATAATTGAATTCATATTTAAGTTTACTTATAGAAATGAAATATTTCATTTATTTGTAAATGTACTAAAAAATTAAATAATTAGCTGTGTCTTCGCGAATATTCATTTGATTTGTAATAAATTATAGTGTTTAAATTTACAAGTATTTATGTCTTATTTTGTAATTATCTACTTAGTTCTTCATATATTGAATACTTTTCATTTACTTCTAAGCATTTGAAAAACTAAAAATATTATTATTTAAATAATACGAGAGTACTAGAAATTAATAGGTAACATAATATTAAAAGTTTATAGAAAAATGAATTGGAAATTGTTATATAAAGCAAAATGATATATATATATATATATATATATATATATATATATATATATATATATAAGTGATACCTAGAAAATATTAAAATATATTTAGTTGGGAGCCTTACTTTTTCTACATACAATTCAAGTTATTAAATGGAAAATCATTTACTATTCTTTCAGCAAAATAAAAATAATTACAATAAACAAGAGATTTTAAAAATGTACGCATATATGTACATACTGCCTTTCTCATAACCAATTATAAAATTTATCAAATTTATACATATAACTATAATTTATAAAATTGATTAAGAATATATGTTGTTCTTCAAAATTTTACTTTTTTAATTCAATTCAATATAAAGAAATTCTGTTAAACATTACATAAAAACTAAAAGGCATTACGAAAAAAATTGAAACAAGTAATATGTCTGCGACTTGTAGTTAGGTTTTTATTTTTTGTTTAGAATACGGCCAAAAATTTTTAATATTTTATCAAGTAAAAGTGTTTGAAAAATAAAATTATAAAGAAATCGCAGTTTGGCTGTTGCAATATTTGTAAGTAAATAGAAATGTATGATTGTAATATACATTTTATGAATATTGTAATATTTTTATATTTAAATCAATTTAATGATCAGCTCTTTTTAAATCAAAAACAAATGTGTGAACGATGTTTATACACCTTAATTGAAAGTGGGTACTTAAATATTTCTAACCAGAAACATACATTTTCGTCGCAAAAAGTTTATTGAAGAATATACTCTACTGAACAAAATACTAGTGCAATAGAAAAATAATGCACTATAGCTCGAAAAGAACAAATGATATGCAAAAATATTCTTCAAACGAAATGTAGGAAATTCAATTCTCTATAGAGAGAATAGCATCAAAAAGCGTAAGACGCAATACTAAGCGAGATATTCGCTAAAAACAGATTTTTGTAACCTTTGACCTCCAATATCTCGCTTAGCGCACACGACATTTTGGTGACTTTTAACCCGTTACTAATTATTAATTTTCATTTAGCTATCTAAAATTCCCCAGATTGCTATTTTTTCCTAACTTTACTGGGGTAAACACAGTTTTATGAAAATCGTAAAGTATTAACCCTTTTAGAACTGGGATCAAAGTTATTTTTTTTAATATTTTGCATTTATGTTTTAATTATTGTGTTTTTGTGGATTTCCACGAAAAGTTTTTAAAAGCGAGAATATCAAAATGAAGTTAAGGTAAAGTTAAAGCGAAATTTAAAAAAAGAAAACTCAAAAAAGTCGCTAAAAATAATTGAAATATAACAAAATTTCACAATTAGAAGTTGATTCGACAAAAAAGTTTTTTTTCGAACCACCCTACACTGAAAATTATCCATGATTTCGTAATATATACTTTTTCGTAATATATACGAAAATTTTGTGAATAATACGAAATATTATTTAATCAAGCCCTTTTCTAATTTTACCAAAATACGAAAACCTTAGGAAACTTCGTTTTATTTTACAAAAATAATTTCGTTAAGGCATGCGACATTTAATAAAGTAAAGATTTTTTTGTAAAATTATTTCAAATGTACGAGGTTTTTGTATATAAATAAATATTTCGTAAATTTCACAATTTATTCTAAATTTACATTTTAAAATTTATGTAATTTAAAAAGTATTTAGTAAAATAAACGATTTTTTCTAAATTATTATGCATTATACTAAAATATTTCGTACAATTTCTTATATATTACGAAACAATTTCGTGGTGCGAAACAACGAAGCATTTCGTACAATGTACGACATTTTTCGTATATACACATCGTCATCTAAAACGCAAACGCAAAATATTTTTAAAATTTTACAGGAGAAGCAAAAAACTAATTATATTATATATTATAGCTGACAATGGGGTATATAAAAATGGATAAATTTTACTTTTTTATCTAATGGACATTTTTTTGATGTAATACATTAAAATCAACAATAAAATCGATTTTAGTTAGGGCCGTTTGCGTTTCAGGTGACGATATAAGGCATGGATTATTTCTAGTGTAATAAACATCGAAAAATTCTTAAATGCCGTATTATAAAATTGTTAAGTGAAATTTAAATATATTTACCCTTTTTATATTCAAGAAGATCTTGTCGATTAAAAACATCATTTTAATTCTAGTTTGGACCCTAGTCAAATTGAAGAAAAAATAAACTATTTTAACAATTTTGTATAAATCTAGGACCAGTACAAGATGTGCATGAATATAAAAAATCGCCAAATTCTGTAGTGGCAGCGAATTACAGATATTTATTAACATAATAAAATGGTCTTTTACATTAGTCAATAAAGGACAATTACAAAATGCGTTAACTGTATCAGATCGTATATGTATTTCAAATTCATTTTTGAGATGCACTTAATGAGTTTAAATGAAATAACAAAGCAAAACGGCATTAACAATGTATGTATATGTAATGTACTCACCTTGACATACATACATATACATATGTAGATGCGTAAAAATATTAAAGAATATTAAAGAATATAAATTACGTGAGTGTACATTTCGGTGAATATTTTTTAGTAATAGTATTAAATAATTTATAGGTAGGTATATAAGAATTTACAATTATGATTGCTTATGCTGATTTTCTCCTTCATGACTCGATGAAGAACGTGAAATTGTGCTTGTTTTTTTGACTGCGCTACAGGGAAAAGTGCTGTCACTAGAACTACTATTACTATCACCTTTGCAAGTCCTCGACGTTGATGGTAGAGAACCGGAAGTAACAGTTGTAATTGAAGGATTCTGCACCAACACAGCTTCAGATTTGGAGGGTTGTAGTCGCTTCTCACAATACAAAGTTCCAAAAGGCTGTACTAAGGACGCTGCTAAACTTTTCGTTATTAAATACTTTGGATTATTAGAGTCGTTCGATGAGGAAATGGATTTCGTTAATGTTGTTGAAGTTGACAATGGCGTTAGTCCAGCTGTGTATGACAGGCGTGAAACAGGGAGTTTATAGTTAGATGAGGAGTCAGAACCCAACGAGTGCTGCCTTAGTAATGAGGCATTCGTTCTTATTGGCTTATTGGGCGATGTTATGGATATTAATGTTGATGCAGTTGATGCGATTGGTGTTTTTTCAATAACCGTCTTAGGAACAAAAGTTGAATTTATATTTGCCTTTGTTCTATCGGTTATAGGAAATTTATTTTTTGTACAACTTAAATCCAATTCTAGTGTATAAAAACGGCCTCTACGAAATTTAGTATTTTCATTCTCTATAGATTTAGGTTGAGATGGTGATGTAAGTGGTGTTGAGTTATATCTGTTGTTGCTGTTATTGTTACTTAAAGGATGATGGCTTATAGTACATATACTGCTACGGTTACTCGTAGTCGTCTGATCACTGCAGTTACTACTGCTGATGGGGGTACTGACACTACCCCCGCTCTGTAAATAATTGTTTTGAGACGAATAGGCAGTGGTATATTGTATAGGATGCATTAAATTGGAGGATGATGCAGGATTGAGACTATTTACTGATGATGATGGACGAACAGTGGGGCCATCGACTTCATCAGAGAGTTGTTGCTTTTGTCGTTGAGGGGAACGATAATTACTACTGTTACCTGAATGTTCGTCTTCGTCGACATTGTCGTTTTCGTCTTCATCGTCGTCATCCGAAGTTATTCTGAGTTCTGTATTGTATTCCTGCAAAGGCGGTGGTGCTGCTGGTGGTGGCGCAATGGTAAAATTTTTGCAATTTTGTTTAGAATTTACTGATTTTCCTGAAATTGATGAATTTTTAAGTCGAGGTGACGGATCTAAAAGTAAGTTTTCGCAACTCGCTTCATAGACACTAGCCAAAGGTTGAGACTTTAAGTGGGTCTTCATTGTTTGGGAACCAATCACTATCACATTGTTGCTTCCGGTTGTGGCAGATTGAATGGATTCTGCACGCGAATCTACCAAACTGTTATCAAGACGGTTACCAGAAGAATTTAAATCTCTTTTCATTCTTTCCTTCAATAACGACAATTTGTCTGCTCCAACAGTCCTTTCTTTGTTTTCAGAGCTTTTAAATGATTCCTTTTCTTTTTTGCTAATTATATCCAAGGGTTCATTGTAGAACGAATCAAATTCTAAATCTAAGAATAATTCTTGCAAGAAACGCCTTGCGTTCATTCGATAACTGCTACGACCCAACGTTCGGCAAACTTCGGAATATAAACAAATGTCTTGAAATGAAGTAGGATGTTTCTGTTTAAGCTCTAATAATGCCATTTTGGACTGTTTAGCACTGACAGGGTTAGCTAAACGCTGAACGTTATATAGAATGTTTGCCGTTAATTTATCTGGCAAACTTTCCTCGCTTAAAATGCTTTCAGGTGAATGGAACTGCAATTCTGAAAGTTGTATTGAAGAAGTATTACTAAATTGCTGTTGTTGTTGATACAAGGGTACTTTATTTGTGGATACTCCACTGGTACCACCAGCGGAATTATTTCCTCCACCTTTTCTAGCTAATGCTACAGTTGCCTGTATACCTGCCGCAACTAATGCCGCAGAAGCATTTGTATACATTTCACATAGCGTTGTCGTTGATGACAAATCGCTTGCTCCGCCATCCAAACGGGACTGATTTTGTGAACGAACTGACTTCCGCAGACGACAACAATGCAGACAGTTACTTCGTCCATGTTTGGCTCCTATCCATTTCGATCTTTTACTTACCGACGACACGTCAGAAAGTGATGATATGACCGATGACTCATCCCCAGCCTCGTTATTAAGAGAATCATTTAGGAATTGTTGTTTAGAGGTTAGCAAATTAATGTCCATTAGATCTTGATCTTGAATGTCTTGTGATACGTAGGTTCGTGACAGATTGCGTGTCGGAAACATGTCCAATAGATTTTTTGGCAGACTTATACCTACAGGCAACAAATTTTTAAAATATTCGTTCTTACTTATTCATAGAATGTGCAAAAAAACTCACCGGCATAACAAGGTCCCTTTAAGTCACTTTGAGATAAAAATTTCGGCGTATTTAGTGACGGTAGTGGTACTTGTAGTTCTTCAGTATCTAGATGTCTACATATTTAATACCAAAGAATAAGGATTTTTTCCATTTAATTTTAATACCAAATATAGACATGAACTTACGCATACATTCTCAAAGAAGTTTGCCTGTCCAAACTTCGCACTTTCATTTTACGCTGAGAATCTCCAAAGGACGATTTTCGTGGGCGAAAGGAAGCAAATGATAATAATTCCATGCGATCAACTATATCGTACAGTTCGGCGGCCGATTCAGATAAAACTGGTCGGCAATGTCGCCTTAGCGAGCGCAGCTGAGCATATCCTTTAATATCAACCGGACTGATGGCATTTTGTAAATACGAATTTCCTACCAGTGAAGTTCGTCGAAGTAATGATGATTGACCCAGCGGAATTTCTAAAAGATTCGACATACTTGGTATGGGGCTTAGGGGAAACTGTTGCAATTCCCTTGATAAATAAGAAAAGCACATACACTGTGACATATAGACTATATAATACTTATTTCCCCGTAGCAAAATACTTACCCCATCGGTGCTGCTCTTCCTGTAACAGATTCACAACTACTAACACCAGATGTATTGGAATCAGTACACGAGTTGTAACGAGTTCGATGCGAATGATAAAATCCGGAGCTCGACGTAGGTAGAATACCTCCAGCACCTGTTGTACTCAGAAGACTTATGACATCGGTCGTTTTGGACTCAGACAGAGAACGTTGATGTTTGCCGTGGCGCAAGTAGGATCCTTCCGGCAACGTTTTTGATTTTGTTGACGCAGGTATAACATTTCCACTGCCACTTGCACTGACACTGCCACTTACACTTGTTCCGCCAACTCCAATGCTTGCTGATCCAACCTGCTTAGAAGAGTATGTCTTCTCAAGTTTAGTTCGTGGCGAACTAAGTTTATTTGGTTGTGAGATATTGTCTCCACTAACCTCTTCTCCAGACGTCTTTATACTATCGGTAGTAGTATTAGCATCCTGGGCCTCTGAGCTGGCACTAGCTGCCCCAACAGCATCACGGTTGGTGCTAGTGCTACTTAACAAAAGATTCCAGTAGCTGCCTGTGTAATAGGAACCATCAATTTGATCTTCCAACCCGGTATAATTATAAGGGGGCATATCTTCGTAGTGATGTCTTACGGGAGTATAATTGCCTAACATCCAGTCTTCAGGTTGGTGTACTGGCCAAATAGTATTTCGATCATGACGAACACTTAACCAGTCTAAAACACAAAAAGGAAACATGAAATTTACATTCTCTTATCAATTTCCAATTATTAATACTCACTCAATTTAAACAAAACATTGGCACCAGCATTGGTGCTACCTATGAGGCCCAAAGAATTGTAACATGTAGCACGTATGGAATATACCTCACATTTTGTTGCCAGAAACACAAATTTGTCATATATTCTAGAAAAAATCATTTTTGGAATGAAACACATTCGTCTTAATATTGTGCATATATTCAGTACCTTGATCCAGATTCTAAGAAAAATTCAATTCCATTCGAATGTGTAGAAGCATGAGCAATGGCCCATATGGCTGCTTTAAGTTCAAGACATTCGGATTCATCTGAACATTTGCCACGACATACAACGTCCATTAGCTGTGTCAAATCGCCAAATTTCCTTAATGCTGTTGTACCCTGCGTGGTTTGCACCATCTGGCCATATAAATGAGCTGGTATATTTGGTGGAATAATTATGGGACGTGTATTGCAATTTCGCCGACTATAGTACCCATCTTCGTTACGAATGTGCAATGTTAAACTGGAATGTGTGTCGGCTTCTACCAGCAATACATATCTGTGTTAAAAACAAAATTGAGAAAATAAAAAAATATTAAAAATGTACTTTTCGGTATTTCAGCCATACAAAAGGATGGATATACTAGAATGTATCTAGTACACCAAGCCTTATTGTATAAACTAATTAAAGGGATTTCACGCTCGCCTCTTATTGTAACCATTTTTCCAGTATTCGATTTCTTCTTTAATTCGCGCCTTCGGCTGATTTAGGCCACGTGGTAGAGAATAGTACCGTGCCATTAATATGCGACCAATGTCGCCAAGAGGTTTTAAATTTGGCCACAGACTTACAATTTCCTCTAGATAATACTGTAATTACAATTTGGACAACATTTATAGAATATTGTTAAATAAAAATTAAATCAAACACTTACATATGTAATACATATTATGTATGTATGTACATATGCAAAGAAGGACATATATTCAGGTTTGTATGTATAAATGTGTTTACCTTTTCATGGCAAGCTTCTTCCAGAACATCCATAGCGGCTAGAACTACACTACGATCAGAATCTTTCGTTTGTTGTATAATTAATGGTATGCCCCAAACTTCAAAGTTTGGTATACGGGAACGTAATAAAACTACTAAAAATTGGGTAGCATACAAACGACCACTTCGAGTTTTTGCAGAAGTCAAGGCATTTTCTAATACCTTCCGAGTAATGGAATCCAATGTGTAATCCAATCCGGAAACTATTAACTTTACATAGCACACGTGCTCAGTATTCCGAACCAGGTTAATAAGACTAAAATTATAAAATATTTTAGAGATATCCAGATATGTATGTAAATTATGGTGGCCCTGTTTGTATGGAGAAAAAAATTAGTGAACTTCCCACCGAAAATAAAAGCTTGGTTCACTCTACGATATAATTTCTCAAAAGTTTTGTCCTGGGGTCAATATTTGGAAAACTGTGTCAAAGGATAAAAAGGTCGCCTTTTAAGGTTTTCCAATTTGAATTGCGTTTCATGCTAGTTCAAAAATATTGAAAATTTTATTTTTCGGAATGTAACTTATGAACATTGTTATTATTTAATGTTATGAATTGAAATTAATACATCATAAACCTCATTAAATTTCACCTAAAGGGTTTTTTTATTTTTCGAAATGCAAACTAGAAAAAAATCTACTATCTGAATCTGCTTAAATTTTTCAAATCTCTTGATTTATTAATTAGCTAACCCTAGATCAGTTAGAAAATAAGTTTTGAAAAATTAAAATAAAATTCTAACCAGGATGAAATTGTGAAAAACTGAAAAAACTCTTCGATGAAATTGTATGATATTTAATATCGTTCTTAGTTTTATAGGAGATGCAAAAAACGTTATAAAATTAAAATTATTTAATATATAAAAGCAATATTTTATATTTATGTGTAAAACTCGAGACAGATCAATTTCAGAAGAAAAAATATTTTTGAACTATTTTTTATTAAGTTATGTTTGTTTCTTTATTTCGCATTTATATTTTCTGAAACAAAATATCATCAATGAAATTTTTTTAGCATAAAGTTAACAAATTTCCCTACGAGGGGAACTGAAAGGCTGAAAATTTCTACAAATATCTCTATTAATAAGGTTTGTTTGGTATGAAAATAAGCGATATCGGTAAACGATTTCGAATAACTCCCTTACAAGTAGCCCACAGAAATATGGTTTGAACAGTCTTAAGACCAAACATGTACATGTATGTGCCGGAATTACAAATTGCTGACATTCGTTTAAGCACTACCATTTCTAGAAATTCGTTGGGTCTTGGATGAAAATGTTCCTCCAATATTGTTGAAATCTGTTCATAAGACTTTTCCTCCGGCAATTTGGTAACACTTTATCGCATGATGTGTTATTGTACCTCTCATGTAGTGGTGCAGCAGATTTTTTTACTTGTTAACATCTCCACTGCCTATAATGCTAATGGCAGTGTCTAATCTCTGCAGCCAATGCCTCCAAGACGTAATTTGTGGTTCGAACGCCTCGAAAGTGAACTGAACTCCAAAATATTCATATAATTCAGTACGGTTACTTATGAATATTTTTGGTTACAATTAATTGGAAGGGCTACCACATGTATTAAAATAATGGCATACCCACAATATACAACAATAATCAATCAACAAGTCGATTTTTTTATGATACGTTGTTTTGCGTTTCAGGTCACGATATGTACACTGACAAACTAAATTATTGGCACAGTAGGCACTTTAAACTTATGATCGTTGTATTGGTCATATTGAAGGGAAATATTTTTACTGGATAGAGAAGTATTTTTACTGGATAGAGAATCTAATTTTCCACAGATTTCAATTTGTTGCATTTTGGAATGCACATTATATTACTATTTATTTAAAAATGAGTAAAAATGTCCTAATTAGGTTGAACAAAATTATTGGCACACTTAATTAAAAACTATTCGATATTGGTTATTTGCGAAATTTTTTTCATTTAACCCACAAATCTTTTTTCGGATTGGTATCTGACGATTGTGTCAACATGAGAAACATTCGATGAAAGCCTTATACGCACAATATGAGACACATGATTTCAGTTGTCATCGTCATGTAAGATCGATCATGCTTGTAAATAAAACTATTCGCGACTTTGTGCGAGATATTCTTTTTGAATATTTACATTCCACCATTTTCCCCTAATATCGTCATACCTAAAGCGAAAATAGTACGCTAAAGCGGACATAATCAATAATGTTGTATATTTCTTTAAAAGGTTTAGTTTTTCTAACTCAGTACTGATCTTTTTCCAAATCGTTTGGAGGCATATATAGTTAGAGATATTAAACTTTTGTTCATCCGAGAACTGCACTTGTTCCCAAAAATCATTCGACATCTTTTAAATTCTTCTTATGGTTCAGTTACCTCATTTTAGAATTATTATATGAAATATATAAATATAATATAAATACCAATAGCAACACGACAATTGTACTTAGCCTATTGCAGTGCCCTCCGAACCGTTATTACAGAAACATTGATTCTAAACTCTTCTTTAATCTCTTCAGCAATCTGTATGATGGACATTTGCGGATTCACTCTCACTTTTTGGACTATTTGGTTGTTAAAACATCTATGACCAATTAAATATTTTGCATTTTCAAATAAAAATGCTTCATTGAAACGCAACATGATTCTCCGAATGAATTCTATTTATCATATCTAATACAACCTAGCATTTCTTAAATATCTATGCCTTGTTTATGCAAAAAAAGAATCATTTTACTCTGGGATTCTGCGGATTATATTTGTGTTCAAACATTTTTTAAAATTAAGTAAATTCTATGAAAATTTTAGGAACACTGACCATTTCACTTTGACACGTGATATCTGTTCATTTTAGGAAGTAGAAATAATGGCTATTTCACCAAAAAAAAGTTTAGGACCATACATTTTTAGGATAGTTGGTAAGTGCACCAATAATTTTGTTCAGGAAAATTGGGTACTTTTTTAATCTCCATTTACCCCAGGAAAATTAGGCAAACAATTTAGCAATCTGGAGAATTTCAGATAGCTAAATGAAAATTGGCACATAGCTTCCCCTTAGCATAATTAGTAAGAATTTAAAAGTCACCGAAAATATCTTGTGCGCTAAGCGAGATATTGGAGGTCAAAGGCTACAAAAATTAGTTTTTGCCGAATATCTTGCTTAATATTCGTCGGACGCATTTTAATGTTATTATAATTTCTATAGAGAATTGGATTTCTTACATTTTGATTGAAGAATATTTTTGCGTATAATAAGTTGTTTTCGAGCTAAATTTTCCATTGCACTAATATTTTCAAATCTTAATATACATTGTACTAATAACAAATTTGTCATAATTTTTACGTCACTCATAAGCAGTTAGGTCAAATTCGCTCTATGACCCATAGTGCAATGTCTGTCTATCCATAATTTCAGATAGTAGCACAGGTCATATTTATGATAAGATATAGGAAAAAATTGGTGGTCATAATCCACATAATTAGAGTAATATTTCCATCAAATTTTATTAAAATCAGACCTCATCTTTAAATATTTTATAAAAATTTTTGAATTTTCAAAAAAGTGTGGAAAAAGATGTAGTATTTTCATCACAACTAGTAACCTGAAGTGCTTCAAATTCGGCTGAAAAAACTATGAATTTTACATTAGCGTGTCATTGGAGGGATGTTGTTCATTTTTGATAACTTTGAACTACATCTAATCTTATTTTTAGAAGCAGTAAAAATCCGATATCTGGATGTCAAAAATAAACCACAATCTTTCAATGACACGCTTTTGTTAATTTCATTAGTTTTTCACCAAAACTTGATGTACTTCGAATATGTTATCTACATCTCTTTTCTCACTTTTAATTGGGTTTTCATTTGTAAGGAAATATTTGGTTTATAAATGCGCAAAATATGTAATCGCATTTTTATATGTGGTTAAGATGTCGTTTGTAAAGTATGACATCAATTATTTTTTGATTATGTCCGCTAATTTTTTTTAATTTACCCAGCAAAAAATAATTGATGTCATACTTTACAAACTACATCTTAAAATGCGATTACATATTTTTCACTTTTATAAACCAAATATTTCCTTACAAATGAAACCCCAGTTAAAAGTGAGGAAAGAGATGTGGAAAAGTCATTACAATAACATATTTGAAGTACATCAAGATTTGGTGAAAGAGTAGTGAAATTTACATAAGCGTGTCATTAAGAGAATGTGTTTTATATTTGACATCCAAATATTGGATGTTTACTGTTTCTAAAAATAAGATTAGATGTAGTTCAAAGTTGCCAAAAATGAACAACATCCCTCCAATGACACGCTAATGTAAAATTCATAGGTTTTACACCCGAATTTGAAGCACTTCGGGTTACTAGTTGTGATGAAAATTCTACATCTTTTTCCACATTTTTTTTGCGGGGTATATTCATAATTGTGATCTGTGACCCCATCAGAAATTTCGGATAGACGGACATTGCACTATGGGCCAGAGAGTGATGTTGTGATAAGGGATATAAAAGAAATTAATTATGTACCTTTGGCTAATATTAGAAAAAAAAAATTTATCTGTATTGGAGTTAAAAATATTATGATTTGAAAATGTTTATTTTTATTTAAACAAAGAAAAAATGTAATGCAACAAAGTAAATTTTGTGGAGAACCTATCACTCTATCATGTAAAAACGTCTCTTTTTTAAAAATCTATGTCATAAAGGGTCTGTTCAATAACTAAAAGTTGTTACTAATTTTCACAAAAATATTTCAAATTTGTATTGAAATACAAAAACAATTTATGATAATTTGTAACAATTATTTGTTATTGAACATACATAATGTCATTAAATCTATCGTGAAGTTTAATGAGCTTACTGTGCCAATAATTTAGTTTGTCAGTGTATGTAATAATTTCAATTATTCTTAGAAAAAAAAAAATAATAAGCATAAATGTTTACAAAAAATTATAAAAAAAAATGTTTAATATTTTGCAATCGCGCATAAATATTTGATATCATATGAATGCGTCTTTGGAAGATACCAAATTGCATATTTTTTATTTGTAAAAAATATGGATAAATCATAAAAACCTCAAAAAAGGACTTTGATCCAGCTTAAATATATTCGTTATGACAAAAGAATAGTACCTTTGAATGAACTAAACAGATTTTCATTTCCGGCGGGAACATCAGGAACTCCCATATTGGGTCCACCTTAATGTACATATACATATATCAAGGTAAAAATGCTTACTGTTCAAATACGGCTGTATTCGTTAAAATACTGATGCCCTTCTGAGAACGACACATACGTCCAATAAATAAAAAATACTGTTGACACATAGTATTATTCATATGCTGGGGACTAAATAGACAATCGTGAGCACGATTTGATGTGGTTACAGCCAACAACTGTGTGGCCACATCCGTAAAAAAATCAGTCAACAAACGAATGCTCTCAAAAGGACTTATGGCCAGCAACCAGTCAATAAAGTCTAAACCAACTTTTACATAAACTGGTAAAGATTTACCATGTACTAGTTCCTGGTGAGAAAAATGATTATGACTGGGTTTGAAATAACCGATAAGATTTTTCAAAAACTGCAAACTTGGTTCTTCCAATTTCCTTATCAAATTACACTACAATATTAAAGAAAACTTCATTACATATACAAAATTTACGACTGCCAATATAATTCTTACCCTTATTATAGTAGATATAATTTCCCATTCCCAACCGGAACCATCCTTAGCATTTAAAACATTGGATTCTTTAATTAAACGATTCACTTTAATATTTTCCAGAAATGGTAGTAATTTACATTTTAAGCGGAAACTTGATCTTCTCGTCGAAGAGGACTGTGAATTCGATTCGTCACTCGAAGAGACAGAATCATGACGTGGCCTTTCTAATGTACCGCCCATTGCCTGTAACTGTGATACGCCAGTGTTAACTTGTGATGCTGTTGGTGACTGCAGGCCGGATGGAAAAGGTAAGGCATTTATTTCACGTCTAAATAGTCTAGTGTGTATTAGAGCTGCAAAATACACATAAAAAAATAACTGTATTTTAAAATTTTTAAATTTATAATGTCATTCTATAGACTTACAGCCTTCTTGAATAATACTATCTAAAAATAAACTACTCGAGGCTGGCCGATTTCTTAGCATCTTTTGGTAACATTGCAATGCTGATATAGCTGCACTTGCTCTTTGATTTCCTTGGGTTGCGTGTGATATTAAGGTCGGCAATGCGGGGCTAGTACTACATATATCGGCTGGAAGATGTGTATGCATTAAATGTAGTATTTTTCCAATTAAAACGGTGGCAGCAACGGATACTGCAGTTTCGCTTGAAACAATAACCTCTACTAGCGCATTTACAAGACCGGTCTCGAGAAAGCAATACAACTGCAAAGCAAGGTGTTGTTCACATATATTTGGCGTTCGAGCTGCCAAACTTGGTAAAATGCTTCGACCCTCAGCGGCCACAAAACCGTTACTCAAAAGCCAGTTGACTTGGAAGTCAGACGGATCTACCGCCTGCAAAGCCACAATGTAGTCATCAGTCCATATTGGTTGTGGAAGACCTAAAAGTTCATATAGCAATTCTAGTATTGCTTTCTTCAAATGGACGAAATATATAAAACATTTATTACAACAACTTATAAATTTCAACTTTATAAAATATATGTACATACTCTAACTTCTATTTGATTTAAATATAAAGCGTCAACTATTGCTTTTAAACCAGACGGTTTACTTGGATCACAGAATTCAATGGTTCCTGTCCAGCTGCGTAATACGGACAACAATGCTAGTCGACAACTTGTATAACGTAACTCGCGCGCATCTCTGTAATTTCATATTTATTATAAAATGATATTATTATTTACAATCATACCACAACTTACTTATTTTTATCCATAATCCCCAAACGATATGTGAAGTCGCAATAGGGCGCTGCTAGACAATCCAAACGTACACCTGATATATTGCGAGTCTGAGGCCATTCCAACAAATACAAAAGAACACCGCTCAAACTTTCTGCTATACGTGGATTATGGCACTCCAACACGTTGCGTGTTATAGACGTAACACCACCACAGCATATTAGTAGCGTTGGATTTAATACAGCAAACTCACAAAGCGTTGCCAAACATGCTCTTAATAAATTATCACTTTCTTCAATGCCCGTGTCCGCCAGGGACACTAAACAACGTACCAAGACCGGGCTGATATTTTCTGCAGAAATTGCAAGCATTTTCCTTATCTACAATAAAAATATTTCATTATTACTAAATATATGTACCTATGTACATCAAGTACGATAAAACAATAAAGAAAACTCACCAATTTTAAAGCTTGCACCCGCTCATCATCATTCTTAAGCATTAAATCGATAGATCGACATATCAAATGTGGGAGTTGCAATGAATTAAATACCTTCACATCCTTAACTGTGGTCAAAACATAACGAATTGTTCGTAAAGCTGCAGCTCGAACTTGCGTAAATGTGTGAATAAGAGATGCACTCAAGCTTAAATTATGAAAACAAAAGCAATAGTTAATATAATTTTGTAAATTGTTACGGTATAGCACCGTAAAAATAGGCCTATTTACATTTAAGAAACCACCATGTTAACATATCACACAAAAAACCTTAAGTTAGAGATGAATTTACAAGAGTTTTTTTAGTTTGTGCATTATAGGTGTCCAAAAAATATCGATTTTTTGGATAGGTCTTTTTTTGTTCATTAATGTCTAAAACTAATCTGTGTGACTCGTGTTTGTCACCAAATGTAATCAAAATTTATTTAAGATCACAATGTGCAATTTAATTGTCCTATAGTTATTTTATATACATACATAATATGTACATATTATACAGGTCGTTGTTATGTTCTAATAATTTAGTTTAATAAACTATGCGACACTATATTGGGAAGTGAAAAATTCCATCGCAAATTGAAAGTATGCCATTAACGTATTCAAACCCCCGAAGCATTTTTCGCTGCTAGGCCAAACTTTAATGCTATCGCTAATTTATAGTTCATAGTGTGTTAACGGGATTTTTAATTTTAATTAATAGAAACTGTTAACGAATGGGTTGTTATATGAAGGCTCCTTTAATGGGCCCTTGAATAATATGTAAGTCATGAACATCACAAACTCACAAACTTTTACCTGACAAAATCTTAGTTGTTTACACGATTTTTTAATTTAGCACATCGTCAACCTATATATTTTTAATTTTAATTAATAGAAACTGTTAACGAATGGGTTGTTATATGAAGGCTCCTTTAATGGGCCCTTGAATAATATGTAAGTCATGAACATCACAAACTCACAAACTTTTACCTGACAAAATCTTAGTTGTTTACACGATTTTTTAATTTAGCACATCGTCAACCTATATTCAAAAAGTGAGAACTCTATTTTGGGCAAAGTGAGTTTTTGATTCCAAAGGATTCCTCAATGAGATGATCATATTAATTTTATTCCTCTTCGATATGTTGACCCAGTTAATTTTAACTAAAAATACTCCATTCATAAATATTAAAAAAAAAACAAATATCAGAAAATTCATATGTTGCAATCACATATTGTAGAAACGTCGACACCAGTCAACAATACTTGATAAAGAATCCTTTTTGCTACCTTGAAGAGAAATGCACGAGAAAATTAAAGTTCTCACGGTCATAAAATTAAATATCATCTTAACATTTCATAAAAGAAGACTTTCTGTCTTCAAATCATTGCAATTGAAACCTCTCTGAAATATTAAATTCTAAATGTACGGGAATATTTAATTGATATGACATCTCTACTTTCTTTCGAGCTAGATGACAAAATATGTAGGGGGTCCACTAAGTAAAAGACGGTGGGAACCGCGGGTTTTTTAGTTATGTCAGTTTCAGTAAATGAGATTTATGTATGTATATTAGAGTTTCCCAAAGAACTACCTTTTTAAGAATCAAATAATCTATGAATACCTCTCAATCGATACGTATTAATGTACTGAACACTAGAAAAATAAGAACTATTTTTTTGAAACAACTTTTTCACCTACTTTTTATTTTTCCATAGCTTTAATCTTATGGACACTATTCGTTTTTGTACTAACTAAAGATAAGGAGATAAAGTATTTACATGCTTATCCGAGTGACATCGCTTTACGTATTAGAACTTGGTTGTTAAAATTTGTGAACAATTTTTTTTTTAATTTGAATTTTTTGACTTGGCGCCCCTTAATAAAATACAAAAATTGAGACAACAGTGGTTAGCTGATGTAATTATACACAGTATATCTCGTTCATGTGCACCGAATAGTAAATGGCTACAACAGCCATAAAAGTTGGAAAACTTGAACGTAAATGTTTCAAAATATCAGTTTTTGGAGCGGCGCATTAGCACTTATGTAGGAAATAATTTGGATTATTGCGTAATTGAGTTTTTTTTTGTTATTTTGAAATATAAAATCGGAGCATGCAAAAATATTCAAATGCAAAAATTTTATGAACTTTTTAAAAATTTTGCAAAATTTCATTTTATTTATTTTTGTGGTTTTACAACTTATACCCAGCAAAAAATAATTGATGTCATACTTTACAAACGCCATCTTCTAAAAATGCGATTACATATTTTTCGCTTTTATAAATCAAATATTTCCTTACAAATGAAAACACAGAAAGAGACGTAGAAAAGTCACTACAAATAACACATTCGAAGTACATCAAGTTTTGATGAAAAAACACTGAAATTTACATAAGCGTGTCATTGAAAGAATGTGGTTTATTTTTGACATACAAATATCGCATTTTTACAGCTTCTAAAAATAAGATTAGATGTAGTTCAGACATGCTAATGTAAAATTCATAGATTTTTCACCTGAATTTGAAGGATTTCGGGTTACTAGTTGTGATGAAAATACTACATCTTTTTCCACACTTTTTTGCTGGGTACAAACATTTAATGAATATATATGAAGATGATGATACACACAATTGATTGGGATCATAAATATCCTTGTAAGTTAAAAAGACGTCACTTTTATCTAAAAACATTTGGCCAAGTTTTCTTAATAATTTAATGTAAAACTGGGGCGAATCAAAAAAGCAAAATAATTGTAGGTTTTGTGAACCGAATAAAATTTACATTGCTTCAAAAAGCATCACTCTATAAATATTGCTTTCCTTATAAATCAAGCTCGTACAATTCAGATATTAACATTAAGTTTTATATATCCTTTCCGTGCTTTCCGTTTAATATTATAAATCCGTTTAATACTTATAAATCCTTTCCGAGCACAACAATAACAATATATGTACATAACGGCCAATACACCTTTATAAAAAGAGCACTTTTTCTTATTCAATGATTTCATGTAAAAATCTCTTTTAAAAAAAGTGGATCTAAATAAATTGCAATAAATTATTAAATTATTAATGAAGTAAAGCATACCAATAAAGCAATTCCTCTGTAGAGAATCCCAAACAATTCCTGGCTGTCACCAAAGTAGATATGGTTGTTAACGCAGTGGCAGACGTAGAAGCACCACCACTCGAATGTGTAGGTCTTGCTGAAGATATTAGTTTTTTACTTTGTTGCTCTTGCTGCTGGCATAATGTGGCCAACCCATTGAGAAGGAAGAGGCGCTTCGCATCCCGTGTGTCACGACAGCATAATGCGGTATATATATCAAAACAATTCTCTGCTGCAGATTTTTTTGGATCCAAACGGTAATTATCTTCAGAATCTTGCGAAACTGCAAAAAAAATCAACAAACGTAGTTATAAAATCTAATAAATATTAATATTTTTGTGTACAAATATAGTATTAGTGAAAGTATTAATTTGTACCTCTTAATACTGTGTGTGTTTGATGCATTAGTATTTACTATAGACACCCATTTTCCGAAATACAAAACTAACAATCTTTTAACAATAAGGTGAAAAATATGTACACATTAGGGTGGTTTTATCTCATATGGTAAAGAAAATGTGTGATTTTTTTTTTGGGGGCACCTCCTAAAATGTTTCTTTCTGTCAGATTTTAGGATTGCCAAAATTTTAGCACAATTAGAAGATGTTAACCCGTGCCACTGGGGCCTCAAAGTTTTGAAAATCTCGATTTTTGGCAGTTTGGCGACTTCGGCGACCTATATCTCTGGAACTGCTAAAACCCGTGTCATACATGCCCGTGTCATACATCAAATTAAAGACCATACTGAAATCGAAAAAAATACCTAATGTCCCTAAAAACGTTCTAGGTACCCCTGTGAGCGAATATGCGTTATTTGTATTATTATTGCTTATTAAGGACAAATACTTTTACTTTGGAATCTCATTTCATTTAAATATATTTATATTCAAATGGTATGGTATGGTATACCGTTAATTTTAGACCCACAACAATGGTTTTTTATGTCTATTTTTTCTCATCACTGAAGACCAGTGTTGCCAAAACCTAATTGCGAAAAATGCTAGAAAGTGCTAAAAATAAAGAAAAAAATGCTAGAAAAAGTGCTAACAAAAATAAGGTTTTTTATTGTAAAATATTGCTAATTGAAATGCTTATTCAATAATTTTTTTTGAATTTTTTAGATCGGAAGTAAACAACCAGATTCTGGATCTGCGACATTGCAACTGATAATATCGCCATTAATTCTCGAAACAGTTCTGTCGAAAAATGTTTAAAAAGTTCAATATTTCCATTGTTACAAATATTTACATTAGGATATTAGTCCAGATTTTAAAAACAACTACTTCAAACCAGTAGAAAAATATCTCGAATTTATTGTAAGAAATTTTAATTATAATTGACGGTTTCCAAAAATGTATCTGAATCTTAACAATTTGAATCATAAATCGCTGGAAAAAGATATAGTTCTAAAGAAGGTGTATATGTTCTCTAAAGCTTCTCTAGAATTATATCTGAGGATAGCAAACTCGAACTTAAATCATTGATTAAAGAACTAGTTCCAGAAACGTTCCATTGAACGAGTTTGTTGATGCGTAACGCAAAAATTTTTGGTTGTGAATATTTTTGAAATTGTGTATAGTTTTTAGTATTTTAGTATTTAATTTATATGGGAGGTGCCACACCCACTATTGCTACTTCGCACAGTTTTGTCAATAATTTTCATATTGAAACAAAAGTTATTCGTACAAAAATTTTAGCCGTTTGAATGAGTGAGTTTTCAGTCTAAAATACTTATACTTTGCTGTTATAGCTTTCTCAATATATCTATTTTGTTATTAGCTTGCCTAGCAGTTAATGTAGGAAGACACTATAAAAATTTCATGAAAATTGGTTCAGCCGTTTAGTCGTCTATTAACTTCAAACATACAAACTCACGTTCATTTTCATGTATTCAGAATACAAATGATTTAAATAATTTAGTTTTATTGTCATTTTATTATATTTATATGAACCAGAGCTGTAAGTTAGCTAAATTTTAAATTTATTTATTAAGAATTAGCTAAATTTTGAATTTATTTTTTAAAAACAAAAAAGAAGAGAATAAAATTTTAATCAATTCAAATGAATTAGACAGAAATTAATTTCAATTAATTTCTAATTCAAATGAATCTGTAAAATGAATTGCAATTTGTTTCCAATTCACATGAATATGTTAAAGTGAATTGCAATTAATTTCCAATTCGTTGGAATTCATTCAAGTGAATTAGAATAATGAATTGCAATTCAAATGAATGAAATCAAAAATGAGTTGCAATTAATCAAATTCAAGAACAGATTTAGGGGAAATGAAATATGGTAATGTTTCCTTCAAAATAAAAATATTCAGTACAGAAATTTACAAATGGAGTTTGGAGTTTGTTTCTTCAAGATGAAATGTTATGTTGAAATTCAATGTTACAAGAATTTATAAAATTCGACAGAAAATTTATAAAATACAAATGACAATTCCAGTATATCACAGGAATTTCAAATCTAAGCATTTTTTGGCTATACTAGGTGATATACAAAACGAGAGTAATGCTTGTCTTTAACATAATAAATTAGAGGAACACCAATATGACAGTTATGCTTATTGTAGATTTACTTACACAATCAATTCAAATTTCAATCAATTTAATTGAAATGAGTTGGAAATGAATTGCTAATTCATTTTGACAAATTCATTTACATTGGAAATGTATTGCAATTCTTTTGACAAATTTAATTAAATTGGAAATGAATTCCAATTCGTTTTTAACAAATTCATTTGAATTGACTCAAATTTCATTCAATGCATTTTTCTGTGAAAAGAAATCATTAAAAATTTGCTAATTCAGCGCATGAATTCAAAACTGAATGATTAATTTACAGCTCTGATATATACTGAAATAAAATTTATAGAATTCTTAATTAAATACATATGTAAGTATTTTAAATAGCACCTATATATATAAAAACAAGTAAGAAAGTATAGTCGGGCGTGACCGATTTATTTTTCATAATAAAGCATTTATCTTGAATATTACCTTAATTCCGATTTATTTAAGCAATTTATTGAAAAACTAATTTTCTAAAAGAGGCTTTATATGTGGGATAGGAGCAAATGTGGACCGATTGCTATAAAATGGGCTGGATAGATTTGTATTTATATAATATTTGTCTGTGCTAAATTTCATTGCAATAACAGTGTTAATAAATGAATTGCGGATATTCAAGTCACTTTCTGAAGGGGACTTTGTATTGTGGCTAGGGTCAATGAAGTCCGATCATCCGATCGATTCGAAATTCGGCAAGGTCATCAAGGCTTATATAAAACTTACTTGTGCGAACTTTCGGAGGGTTCAGTTGTATGGGGGCTAGGTGAAATAATCAGAAAGTAAGTCGATCGGTATACTTTAAGGTGGGTATAGTACTAATATTTTAATGCGTTACAACCCAGCAAAAAATAATTGATGTCATACTTTACAAACGACATCTTAATCACATCTAAAAATGCGATTGCATACTTTTCGCTTTTATAAACCAAACATATACTTACAAATTAAAACACAGTTAAAAATGAGAAAAGAGGTGTAGAAAAGTCACTACAAACAACATATTCGAAGTACTTCAAATTTCGATGAAATTTACATAAGCGTTTCATTGAAAGAATGTGGTTTATTTTTGACATACAAATATCGGATTTTTACAGCTTCTAAAGTTAAGATTAGATGTAGTTCAAAATTGTCAGAAATGAACAACATCCCTCCAATGACACGCTAATGTAAAATTCATAGGTTTTTCACCTGAATTTGAAGCATTTCGGGTTACTAGTTGTGATGAAAATTCTACATCTTTTTCCACACTTTTTTTGCTGGGAAACATCAGCACAGACGCATAATACCCTTCCCATTATAGTGGTATAGGGTATAATGAATGTGTGTTTGTATGTATGTTTGTTTGGACTTTATAGACGGCTAAACGGCTGAATCGATTTTCTTGAAATTTTCACAGTTTTTCCGGTATGTCTGGAAGGAACTATAGGCTACCTTTTGTTTTGGAAGTTCAAGTAGGCGAGGTGCCACGCCCACATATATAATAAGTATTAAAAGTCGCATATATCAGAAACTACAACAGCTAGAGTCCCCAAATTTTGTATGAAAAACTTTGACATCCATATGAATGTTGACAAAATGTGGGCGTGGCACCTCCCATATAAACAAATCTTAAATTAGTATATCTGAAAAAGTATAACAGCTAGAGTCCTAAAATTTTTTCTGAGCCTCTTTAGTATCGACATAAATATTTAGGACAAAAAATTGGCGGACTAGCAATAGAGGGGTGTGGCACCTCCCATAGCAATTACAAACTAAAATTCGTTTATCTTTGAAACTATTGAAGTTAGAATCTTAAAATTTTGCACGAAGATCTTTAACATCCATCTGAACACTTGGGAGAAAGATGGACGGACTTCAATAAGGGGGGGCTTGACACTTCCCATATGAATTAAGTACAAAAATTCGTATATTTGGGAAACTGCTAGAGATAGAATCATCAAATTTTGCACGAAGAAATCTGACATCCATGTGAATATTTGGGTAATAAATTGGTTACTTTTAATAGGGGGATCCCACCATATGAATGAAATACAAAAATTCGTATATCTGGGAAACTGTTATAGCTAGAATCTTCAAAAATCGTAGTTTGTATTTTATTTACTTATATTGATTTTTGGGCACCAAAGCACACAGGGTATAGCTAGTTTTTTATATTATGGAATTATTTAACAGTTTTTTCACTGAATAACTTAAGTAATTTTGCACTTCATTTTGTCTGATAGTGTACATATCGCTCATTTACTCAAATACTGGCATTATCCGAAATTCGGGTTCTTTGAATTGAAGGCTACAACACATACATACGCCATACTAAAGTCGTTCATATAGATTTATCAAATTTCAAATATATCTATTATTTTCGGTGTGAGATCGAGTTTTTGTGTAAACGTAAAAGCTAAAACTCATGTTTTCACGAATATTAAATAAATATTATTTAAGTAAGATGGAGAAATATGTGTGCGGTTCATCTGAAAACATATTTTTGATTTTAGTTTTGCACCGGTTTCCAAGTTTGGATTCTTAACGAATTTTTCAAAACAAAGCTACGTTCTACTCATGAGTAGACATAGTTTTCTAATGCATTAATTAATACTACAGATCCTTTATAAAATACTTTGTACTTTGTAAAAACAACGGTACAAAACTAAAATCAAAAATATTTTTGCTGATGAAATGCACACATATTTCTCCGGCTTAAATAAACATC